CCCCTCACACAATTTTTTTTCTACCGTTGCAACACATTTATTTAAACAACTTAATGGTGGGCAATTTTGGGGTGTAAAAAGTACAAAAATAATAAAACTCTGTAAAACTTAAAACAAAAATTCAGTTTTCTCCAAATTTCAGTTGTCAACGTACCCTCCAGACTTTTCTCAGGTACTTCTATGGGTACTTGTACCACTGGTTGAGAGACACTGATCTAGATCATCCCTGATCGATGTCTATCCATACTGCTATTAAATATCTCCCGTGATGGAGGTTCCATAACCTCCCCAGGCAATTTACCAACCTGACAGTTAGGAAGTTTTCCTTAATGTCCAACCTATACTTCTAATGATGCAGTTTAAGCTCATTGCTTCTTGACCTGTCCTCACAGGTGAAGAAGAACAATTTTTCTCCCTTCACAGTTACTCTGAGTAACCCACTGTTGGCCAGGCGTACAGTTGGGTCTGTGTTGCTAGCAACTTAGTAAAGGCCAGTCAGGAACCCACAACAGCTGTTCTGCCATGTTATGAGCCATGATCCCAAAGATGCTGAGCCAGCAAAGAATTTGATTGGACTTGAAAATTTTGGGAAGAGGTTTGAGCAAAGATTACAAAGGGAGAATCACAAGTACTTGTAAGGTGAAAATGGTGTATTTATTGTAGACTACTACTGTTAAAGTAATACTAAAGGCCTAATTTTTGAACACCCAAGTGCTAATGTTAACAAAACTGACTGGGCCACACATCCCACTGCTACCACCAAGAGCCTGCAGAGTGAAGAGATGTATTCCAGTGCAGGGCTTGTTTAGCCCTAACAAGGGAAGGCTAGGGATAAACACAAGGAAGGGGAGGAGTTATGTAAATGAAGGGCCAAAGTTTGCACAAGAACACATGACCTTAAAGTGTATGTCAGCGAATTTAGGCTTGACATTAGACAAAGGTTTCCAACCATCAGAGCAGTGAAGTTCAGGACCAGCCTTCCAAGGGGAGCAGGGGCAGGGCTAAAACTCTCTGGCTACGTCTACGCTGGCCCATTTTCCGAAAGGGGCATGCTAATTTTCCAGGTCGTAATAGGGAAATCCGCGGGGGATTTAAATATCCCCCGCGGCATTTAAATAAAAATGTCCGCCGCTTTTTTCCGGCTTGTAGAAAAGCCGGAAAAGAGCGTCTACACTGGCCCCGATCCTCCGGAAAAAAGCCCATTTCTGGAGGATCTCTTATTCCTACTTCAAATTCCCCCCCCCCCAGTCAGATTTGCAGTGACATTGGGAGTTTTTCACCTCCCGCTCCAGCATGGAGCCTGGGGGATTTGCAGCCTTTCAGAAAGGCGGGTGCTTTGCAACGGGAGGGATTGAACTCACGATCTGAGGCCTTCCGTGGCTCAGCCAGAGGCCAGGGCTCTGTGGTAGTGGGCAGGTGAGGGGCTGTGGCCTGAAGTGTGCCAGAGGTGACACTAGACCATTGCAATGGTCACTTCTGGCCTTAAGGTCGGTCTCAGGTTCTTCCTCTCAGCCTTGGTGTGTAACTGCCCAAAGCCCTTGCTAATGCCTCTGTCAATGAACCCTAAATGGTATTTTCTTTGTTTCCAGTGGGAAAATATAGCCCCACCCCTGAGAGATGCAGCCAGCTCCTCCTAAGCCCAGTGGAGACACCATGAGGTCAACGGAGGAACTCTTCCATTGACCTGGCTACCGCCTGCGGGGGTGGGATATCCCCAATCAATGGGAGAACCCCGGTGGCTGCTGACAGTGGGGGCTACAGAGAAGCACAGTGGAAGGATGTCAGGGCAGCTCCCCCGTCGCTGCTCCTTGAGGGGACGTGTTCAGAGGACGGTCCCCAAGGACTCCACGATGCCAGAGGCCAGGGGGATTTGGAGCCGCAGGCCTACTACGCTGTGTGGGTGCACAATAGTCAGTCCAGAGCTGGGCTGCCCGATCCGTAGAGCCGCTCATGCCCGGCCATTGATTTGGGTGCTCCTCCCCCTGCTGCTCCTGCCCCCGTCAAGCCCCTGGCCACCTGCTCCCAGGATCTTCCTGCTTGTTGCGCAGAAGGGGTGGGGAACTTAAGGGCCCCCGGGATTGCCTGGATCCAGCCCTCAAGGCTCAGGACTCCCTCCCACACACCGAACTCCTCATTTCTGGCACTACCCTAGAGCCTAGGGGGTCACAAAATCTATGCGGCTGGGCCCCCAGGCTCTGGTGTGTGAGGGGAGAGAGGGGAGGGGCTTTATCCTTCTCAGTCGGGGCCATGTTGGGGCTTGGGGGGTTAATTCCACTCGAGTGCACCCCCGACTGATTTTCAGTGGGTCAGCGGCCCCCGGCCCAGGTCCCCACCCCAGTGTGCAGCGTGTTCGGTGATGTCAGGGTGTCCCGCAATCTCCAGAACGGGGACAGAGCGGGTGGCAGCAGCTTTGTGAACCAGCCTTGAGACTGGGGAGTGCCGCTGTGTGCAGAGATGGCCCCCTGCCTCCCTCTGCCTTGGCAGCCAGCACACTGCTGCAGTCTGAGCCCTGCCCCTCTCACACACACACGCTTTCCTCCTCACACCCATGAATACACACTGCCTGCGCTTGCGCTCATTCACACACACACACACACACACACACACACACACACACACACTTAGACACTCACTTCCCAACACATACTTGTAGGCTGTGTCTAGACAGGCCAGTTTTTCCAGAAAATCAGCCGCTTTTCCGGAAAAACTTGCCAGCTGTCTACACTGGCTGCTTGAATTTCCGCAAAAGCACTGTCTTCCTACTGTAAGAAATCAGTGCTTCTTGCGGAAATACTATGCTGCTCCCGTTCGGGCAAAAGTCCCTTTTGCGCAAAAGGGCCAGTGTAGACAGCTGGGATTTGTTTTGCGCAAAAGCGCGTCTAGATTGGCCACGGACGCTTTTCCACAAAAAATGCTTTTGCAGAAAAGTGTCTGTGACAATCTAGACGCTTTTGTCTGAAAATGCTTTTAAGGGAAAACTTTTCCATTAAAAGCATTTCCAGAAAATCCTGCCCGTCTAGACGTAGCCGTAGTTCTATTCTTATTTCTCTTACATTTCAAATTTTCTCAGCAGCGAGTTCCCAAAGGCCTACCCTGTCCTAACTCAGGTAATTATCCCCGTCATGAATCAGTAGAACTATCTATTTTAGCTAGGTGTCCTGCTGCTACCGGTGAGCACAGTCACACATTGCCTAGCTATTGGTGCACATAACAAAATTCATTCCACACATGGATGGAAAAAATGAGGAGGGACATTGCTTTAGACATTATCTAGAGTTGGGATTGTTTTCCAGTGTGTATTACTTTGCTCACACCACCCTAGAGTATACAATTTGGGATCTGGTCAGAGTCCTCCTGGGTCCAGGACCCACCTCCTGCAACTCCTGGCTTCTTCTCCAGATGGAGTGTGTCCCTCTGCTGCAACCACGGCCCTGCAACCAAAGAGTCCCCTCTGCCCCCTTAGTGCCTCTCTCCTGCCCACTCTTCTCCTGGCTCCTCCAGTCTCTTTGTTTTCAAAGAGCCGAACAAATATCTCCTCACTTCATTTCCTCTTCTGGCGAGAGTCCATTCCTTCCACCCCCACCCCTCTATGGAGAGGTTGGAGCAAACTGATTTAATCGAGGATGCAGTTACTCCCTTCTTCTGTCTGGAGAAAGCTCGTTAACACTGATACTCTTGAATGGCCAACCGATGTACAGGCAGATGCCTCTGTCTCAGCTCCCTGCTTCTGACATAAGGAAAAGGAGCAAAGAGCCCGGAAAAAGCCAAAAGACCCAGTGATACAGACAGGACATACAATCGACTCTGCAGTGACGGGGGAAAAGCCAACAGAATGTTGGGAATCATTGAGAAAGGAGTAGATAACAAGACAGAACATATCATATTGTCCCTGTGTGTAAACCCATAGGCTGTGTCTACACTGGCATGATTTTCCGGAAATGCTTAAAACGGAACAGTTTTCCGTTATAAGTATTTCCGGAAAAAGCGCGTCTACATTGGCAGGATGCTTTTCTGGAAAAGCCCTTTTTCCGGAAAAGCGTCCATGGCCAATGGAGACGTGCTTTTCTGGAAAAAAAAGCCTCGATCGTCATTTTCGACGTCATTTCCAGCTGTCTACACTGGCCCTTTTCCGGAACAGTTTTCCGGAAAAAGGACTTTTGCCCAAGCGGGAGCAGCATAGTTTTTCTGGAAAAGCAGCTGATTTCTTACAGTAGATTGTCAGTGTTTTTCCGGAAATTCAAGGGGCCAGTGTAGACAGCTCACAGCTTATTCCGGAATAAGTGGCCCAGTGTAGACACAGCCAGAGGGTGTGTCTAGGGTACATGACTCAAGAGCCTGAGCAGTCCTTGGCATCACAGTGAAAGCTGTGGTGAAGCTGAAATGCCTCCCTGGCAGCTGGTGGGAGGTGAGCTAAAGAAAACTGAATGAGCGATGAGAAGAGCAAGGGAGCAACCTTAGCAGAAAGGATGGGGAAAAGGGTTTGGGGAGGAGGGTCCATTTACCAGAAATTGGAAAGGAGGCAGCCCAGTGAGGTGTATGCTCCTGAGTTTGTCCTACTGGCCCAGAACAATCAGGTCAGTGATGGGTTTATTGTCTCTCCGAGCATCCATTAAGGGTACGTCTAGACTACAGGCTTTTGTCGACAGAAGTTTTGTCGACAGTATCTGTCGACAAAACTTCTGTTGACAAAGAGCGTCTAGACACATTCAGTTCTGTCGACAAAGCAAGCTGCTTTGTCGACAAAACCCTGTAGTCTAGACACAACCCTACATGCAATAACACCTTCTGTCGACAGAACTCTGTCGACAAAAGGCGTTATGCCTCGTAAAATGAGGTTTACCAGCGTCAACAAAACTGCTGAGTTCTGCCGACGTTATGTCGACAGAACTCAGCGATAGTGTAGACGCAGGTATAGTTTTGTCGACAAAAGTCTACTTTTGTCGCCAAAACTCTGTAGTCTAGACACACCCTAAGTGACTCAGGAAAGAGAACCAAGATGGCTCTCTGTGGGGATCAGTCTGATATCCCATGATAAGGAGAATACTTTAGTTGCCTTTATCAGTAAAGAGATGGAGCAGCCTGTCCCGGATCTGTTTGGTCCTCATGCCATAGATGATGGGGTTTAGCATGGGGGGCACCAGGATGTACACGTTGGCGACAAGAACATGGAAATACAGAGGCACATTTTGGCCAAATCTGTGTGTTAGGAAGGAGAAGAGAGCAGGGATATAAGAAGTTAAAATGACACAGAGGTGGGAGCTGAAGGTCTCAAAAGTCTTGAGCCGGGTGTCCTTGGTGGAGAGGCTGAAGATGGCCCTGAGGATCTGGGTGTAGGACACAGCGATAAAAAACACATCCAAACCAGCCAGCAGGAGTGCCACAGAGAGGCCATAGTAACTACCGACACGGATGTCAGCACAAGCCAGCTTCACCACGGCCATGTACTCGCAATACGAGTGGGGGATGATGTTGGTTCTGCAATATGGCCACTGCCTTGCCAGCAAGGGATGGGGCAGAATGAGTATTATGCTGCGCAGCACCACAGCCAGGCCAAGCTTGACCACCACCCGGTTTGTCAGGATGGTGGAATGTCTCAGGGGATCACAGATGGCCACATAGCGATCATAAGCCATGGTCACAAAGATCCCAGACCCCATCCCTGTGAAGCAATGCATGAAGTACATCTGGGTGAGACAAGCTGTGAAATTTATCTCCCTGGAATTGAACCAGAAGATGCTCAGTGTTTTTGGCAGGATGGATGTAGACAGGACCAGGGCAATGATGGTCAGCATGCAGAGGAAATAGTACATGGGCTCATGGAGGCTCGGCTCCCGCTTCACAATGAACAGGATGGTGAAGTTCCCCAAAATGGTTATGACATACATGGCACAGAAGGGGATGGAGATCCAGACATGAGCTATCTCCAGGCCAGGGATGCCCAGCAGGATGAAGGTGGAGGGGTTGGTGAAGTCACTTACGTTGGAATCTGACATGGAATAAGGGGGAAGTTTTGTACCTCTCAGGAAGAACAGTGTCTCCTCCATGTAGTGTATGTTCCGCTGATTTCCTGTATGTGCCCAGGGTTTAGGGTGATGATTGAAGTGCAAATTCCTAGATGGAAAAACAATGTTAATATGAGACTCTAAATAGGAGTCTGTTTTCATGGTTGAAGCAAATCAATCACTCTTCATAGACTGAAAAACTGACATTTTCATTATGAAGATAAATGGATTATGTATAACTGACTCTACTAATGTGAATTCCATAGTGGAATGTACTCCATGGATCAATAATTCCTGCACCTCTGGGATTGTTTAGTTTAGAGGCAAGTCAAAGAAGGGGGTGTATAATAGAGGAGCACAAAATAAAATAATGGAACTTAGGCTACATCTAAACTGTCGGCTTCTTGCTCAAGAACAGCTGTTCTTGCGCAAAAACTTACCAGATGTCTACACTGCACACGCGGTCTTGAGCAAGTAAGTTTATAGTACAGCATCAGAAAACAGGGCTTCTTCCAGAAGAATTATTCCTCTCCCCATGAGGAATAAACTGTCTTGCACAAGATGGCAGTGTAGACAGGCAATATGAATTTCTTGTGCAAGAAACCCCTATGGCTAAAATGGCCATCAGAGCTTTCTTGGGCAAGAGAGTGTCCACACTGCTGCAGATGCACTTGCGCAAAACACATCTCTTGCGCAAAAGCACATGCCAGTGTAGACAAGCTCTTGTGGAAGACTTTTTGAGCTAGAACTCTTCCGCAAAACAGTTCGGCTATGTCTACACTGGCATGAGTTTCCAGAAATGGTTAAAACGGAAAACTTTTCCGTTATAAGCATTTTTGGAAAAAGCACGTCTACATTGGCTAGATGATTTTCTGGAACAGCACTTTTTGCGGAAAAGCATCTGTGCCAATCTAGACGCGCTTTTCCGCAAAAAAGCCCCGATCGTCATTTTCGCGATCTGGACTTTTTTGTGGAAAAGAAATCTCTGCTGTCTATACTGGCCCTTTTCCAGAACAGTTTTCCAGAAAAGAACTTTTGCCCAAACGGGAGCAGCATAGTTTTTCCGGAAAAGCACTGATGATTTTACATTAGATCGTTAGTGCTTTTCCGGAAATTCCAGGGGCCAGTGTAGACAGCTGGCAAGTTATTCCGGAAAAGTTGCTGATTTTCCAGAATAAGTGGCCATTGTAGACACAGCCTTCTTGTGCAAGAAGCTTCCAGTGTTGATTTGGCCTTAAAGTATTCATATAGATAAACATAGAACATTTCCCAAACAGTAACATGTACAGACAGATACTGCTTCAAAATGTTTAATTCCTCAACCCTGAAGCAAAATTTCAGAGAAACTGATGGGGACTTTCAACATAGACAGAAAAATTACATTTGTTAAGAACAAAAGAAACCAGAGAAAACATTTAGGCAAGTCCCTGTGGGGAGAGGAAACTTGTTACTGCTGCAGAAAAGGTAGTTATGTTAATAAACAGTTTTGTTTTGGATTCAGAAAGAAGTAGTATGAGTATGAGACTCATTTCACCTGAGGCGATGAAATACTTTCCATACCCTTAGCAGTGAAAGAGGTTGATAAATGCCATCTACAACAGTTCTATGTGAAATCTACATGGTTAAAAATAATGAAAAGTTTCCAAAATGTGTTGAGAAAGTAAGGGAATAATGAAGTCAAGGTTGCTCCCTATTCTGGCACTTTGAAAAAAAGAAAAGAAAAACCTTTAGGAGCCCACGAAGATGCACTTGGGTATTTCTTCCTGTGGGGTCACCCCAAGCTCTTTAATACTTCCTCAGGGGTAGAACTTGAAAACAAATCTCTTAATAGCTGCCCTTCAGTCTCAAGCATGCGCACACAGAACCTCCAGCCTTCTAGGACATGGGAAATCATAGTCTTAAAAAGGTGACTTTATGAACCAAACAAAGAAGACATATTTGGTAAAGCATACTTGGTTGCCAGATGTTACAGAGCAACTGAAGAAAAAGTATTAAAGCACAGAGAATTGTTTCCCTGGGATTCAGTTTCAGTTACCGTGTGCCGGGGGAGGGAGGTTAGCACAGAGGAGTTTAACAAAACTAAAACCAAAGAAAAGAACCTGATCATGTCTAACTAAACATTCTCTGTTCACTTACGTATCCTTTGTGACAGGGTTCAGTGTTTGCTTGGGCATGGATATCACTGAAAAATCCATGCCTTTATTCCTGGTTCGGTTCATGTCTCTCCCCAGATTCTGCTCTGAACTCACACACAAAGGAGACGGAAGCAGGCAAAACTTGGTTCATTTCAAATCTCTCCCATTCTCTTTCCATTGACTTTCCTGGCTTCCTGCCCACACTTGCTGGATACTCACTGTTCTGTGGTTAACCCTTCCAGACAATTCAGCCAACTGAATACTGGGATGTCCAGAAAAGCAGCACTCCTCCTATCCATAAAAAATGAAAAGGCTGGTATGGGATTTTATAAAGGTCTGTAAACATAAGTAATAAGTCAACAATAATGTTAATGGGAAACAGATCTTGTCAAATAAACCTGATTTCATCCTTTAATAAGAGTACAAGTTTTCATAATCAGGAAACCATGGAGATGCAATAAGCCATGGTTTCTCTAAGGCATTTGATTTAGTAGGGGAAATTATTCAGGTAAAATAATGACACTATACAGCATCAGTAGACTATAGGTTAAATGGACTAAAAATGGACTAACTGACACATGTCAATGGCTGTTGTCAGGAAATGGGGGTGTTTCCAGTGGCGTTCTGTAGGGCAGAATGAAAACAGAAAATCCCTGCAGATACATTTTGCAGATGACCCAAGACTGGCAAAGTAGTTATTTATCAATTGATCTGGAGCATTTGGTGAGCTGGGCCCATGCAAACACAGTATTTCAATTCAGTCACATACAAATTGATCATCTAAAAGCAGAGAAGGCAGGCCTGAGCCACAGAGAAAGGCACTGTGTTATGGAGCAAAGGGATCCAGAAAAGTATATAGGGGTCACTGGGAACACCCAGTTCCTTGTGAGCTCCCAGGGCGATGCTTGGGCGAAAGGAGCGGATGGGATCCCTGGATGCCTAAATAGGAGTGTGGCAAACTGGAGCAGGGGAAGGAGCACATGGCACGGGTGAAAGTGACTGTGTGTCATCCTAGGATCCACATTTCTAAAGGGACGTTGAAAAATTGGGGAGGATGCATGAAAGAGCCACAGGGCTGAAAAAAAATTCTGGATAGAGATGCTTCAAGAACTTCATCTAGGCACCTTTATTAAAAGATGACCGGAAGACACGTTCATAGAGAGTAAAGAGCCAGTAATGGCAGGTTCTGTGATCTAGCAGAGAAAGGCAGAGCTAGGCCCAGTGCAGGGAGACGCCAGATCGATTCCAGATGGAAATCGGGGCCAAATGTTTAGCAATGAGAGCTAGTAACCATTAGAACAAAGCACAGAGGCAACTCATGGATCGTTCATATTCCCGTCTCTGCCGATCCAGACTGGCAGCTTTTCAGGAAGATCTGCTTGGGGGCTCGTCTACACGCACAAAGCTACTTACAACATGCTGCCATAATGCGTCAGTGCTGCAAGAAGCGGTCGGTAGGTCAACGGAAGAATTCTTCCATTGGCTTCCCGCTGGCTACTCCAGGATTCAGGGGACATATCGAGATCTCTCAGAGTTGTGGATTTTTTTGCTTTTGCAAAAACAGTAAATGCCATTTTTGGTTGCCTTAGCAAAGACACAGCATTCAAGTCATGGGAGGTTATACTAATGCTCCCCCCAATGCTGGCTAGGACTCCGCTGGAAGTTTTGGTCATGGATATATAGAAAAGATGCTGTGAAACCGGAAAGGGTCCAGAGGTGAAAGATGAAGATGCTCCAAGAGATGCAATAAAAACCATGTGAGCAAAGGCTGAAGGAAGGGGATACGTTTTGTTTGGAAAAGAGATTGAGATTGACAGTGGCCTTCAGAGACTTGAAGAGTTGCCATAAATATGAATAAAAGGTGTTTTGTCTTACCTCTGTGGAGATCGCATGGGACCATGGGTTCAATTTCACAAATAGATGAAATCTCAGTAAAAATGGCAAGAACAGGACGAGAATGGAACAGCGACTTCAGGCATTGGGGGGATCTCCTTTGCTGTAGAGTTTCAAAAGGAGCCTGGCTAGATGTCTGTCCTGGATGCTTTAGTCCTAATTCATCCTGCAACTGAACAGGGAGTGGGATTAGATGATCCTTATGGATCCTTCTTGCCCTATGGCTCTATGATTCAGTGATGCAATAGTCTACTGTAGGCCAAATCTAAGTCACACACAAATACTGGAATAACTGGGTGAAATGTAATGGCCTGTGTTATACAAGACGACAGATTGGATGAGCTAAACGTCCTTCTGATCTTGAGCATTGTGACTCTATCAATCGGTCATTTATACTTATTGTGTCTAGCAAACACATGAACAAGGGAATTTTGAGCTACCCTGAAACTCTGAACATTCAACACGGACAAAAGAAATAACATACGGTCTGTGGAACTCCTTGCCACTGACATTACAAGAGCAAAGAGCTTAGCTGAGCGGGATTCACTAACAGATTGGCTACTGTAAGGGACACGGCCTTTAGTTCAGAGTGTCTGACCCCTTCAGTTAGGAAAAGTCAATTCCAGTTTTTTATGTTTGACAAACTTAATCATATGGAAATGTCCAAGTATTGGAGGGTTGCGAGTTACACACAAGAAGTCATTCTTCTGCTCTACTCTGCGCTGATTGGGCCCCAGTAGGAATATTGTGATCAGTTCTGGGCACAACATTTAAAGAAAGATGTGGAGAAATTGGAGAAGGTCCAGGGAAGGCTGAAGAAACTGAGCTTGTTTCGTTTGGAAAAGAGAAGACTGAGAGGGGACATGACAGCAGATTTCAAGTACCTAAAAGTTTGTCACAGGAAGGACGGGGGGAATTATTCTCTTTGGCCTCTGAGGA